CTGTATAGGTGCCTAATAGAAGAATGTCATAAGGAGAAGTGTAGTGAACAAACATTGGTATAAGTTATATTTAGCTTTATTTCCTCCCTCCCCTTTTATCTCACAGCTTTAACCATCTTACTTTTCTTACTTATTTTCTGTACTGTGGTAAACGCTCTTACCCCAAAAGGAAATAGCTCATTGGTGTGCATTGTGTATAGATGTGTTAAAAAAGCAGTAGCATTTTGAACATACTTACATCATTTTTAACGCCTCCGTTTAAATAATTTACATTTTGTGAATCTATATTTAATACAGTATTAAATGAACATGCTCAGTCAAAGTTGCAAGCAGGTAGAAGTTGTTTTTGATACTTCAAAAGTCAGTACAGGTAATCCTCAATTTACAACAGTTCATGTTCAAAGTTACAACGTCACTGAAAAATGTGACTTACCTGTTTTTCATTTACAATCTTTGCTACATCCCCATGATCACGTTTTCAGATGCTTGTCAACTGGTTCATATTTAGGATCATTACTGTGTCCCAAGGTCATGTGATCATCTGTTGCAACCTTCTGACAAGCAAAGTCCATGGGGAAGCCAGATTCACTTAACAACCATGTTACTAACTTACCAACTGCAGTGATTTACTTAACAACTGTGACAAGAAAGATTGTAAAATGGGACAAAACTCCCTTAACAAATGTCTCACTTTTGGGCTCAATTGTGAGGACTACCTTTACTCCAATGATCACCAAGATATGATTTCATTTACGGGTGCAATGGGTGCAATTACCGGTACTCATATTGAGCAACATTTTTAAAGAAGCAATAGTTGTCAAAGAATGAGGCAAAAACCTTAAAAACGTCAGTCTTAACAATAATTACTTAAGATCTGATGATCACATTGGAATACACTACAGAGAAAATATGTATAGAAATGTCTTCATGTAATCATTCTTCCTGTAGCAGGAAATGTATATAATTCTGTGGGAATATACCTCTGGGTTTGTTAGGTATATATTTTTGTCAAACATCAAAAGGCAGTAGAAGAAATGAGGAACTAACAGGCAAATACATGATGCCTTATTAAAGATTTAGAAAACCTAGAAACAGAGATGTGTCATCTCCTTGAGAGAGAATTTCTAATGTATAGCCCAGAGATATTTGAATGTTAATTATTCATACTAAAATGGTAATTTTTCCTTAGCAGGTTTTACTTTGAGAAATTCCATTTTTTCAGTGAGCTGTCAACAAAAGCAATTCCTACCGAATAATAGGTATGCTAAAGAAAATACTTCAAACTGGCCTTGTAATAAAAGTAGCTATGTTTTTATTGCAGGTTGTAACAAAGAGGTAAGGCCTATAGCAGTGATGGCTAACCTTTTTGCCGTCACGTGCCAAAAGTGGGGGGAGCGGGGGGGGTTGCAGGTGCGGGTGCCCTCATCCATAATTCAATGCGCCCCGCCCTCCTGCGCATGCGCACGTGACTCCCCCACACTTCCCCCTGCTTTTGGCACACAATGGCACGGTGGGCTCAGTAGGCCCGTTTTTCCACCTCCCCAGGCTCCAGAGGCTTTCTAGGAGCCTGGGGAGGGCAAAAACAGCCTTCCCCATCCCTCTGGAGGCTGGAAACAGCCAGTTTCCTGACTTCCGGTGGGACTGGAAGGCCTGAAAATCAGTTGGCCGGTACGCGCATGTGCCCTGGAGATGAGCTAGGGCAATACTCACGTGCCCACCAATATGGCTCAGCGTGCCACCTGTGGCACCCGTGCCATAGGTTCACCATTACGGGCCTATAGCAAAGACCCATGGATACTGAAAGCTTCCTGTTTCAAACACAAACATATATTTTGTGTCCTAAATTGTTGAGCTTAGTGGTATTAGAAACTAAAGCAAAGAATTTAATTGATTCTATTATAACTTTTGTTCATGTTGCTTATTTTCAAATTCTCATTAAACACTGGGAATATCCACAAATACACTAAATAAATAAAACGAAGAAAGGTTCAAAAATGTCACATTTCAGCAAATAGACTGCCACAGTTCCCAAATGATTCCAAGGTTCTGATGTAACCTAGGCTCAATGCCAAACATCTTCCCTTTATTCTTGTTACTTTGCCAACTCTCATAGGCTGTAATCTGCATGACAAGCAATAATGACCCTAGTCATAAGGCCAGGAGTGTTTGTGTTGCAGGAAAAAGCCCAGGTGTAGCTTTTGTTTGCATGCCAGCACAATTGTAACATGTACAAACACATATGTACTACCCTTGGTGCAAACTAAGTCCTGTAAAAATAAAGAACGCTTTCAGAGTTAAAATGACTCAGATTCATATGGGAAGTGTAATAGCAGTGAAAATTGTGAGTCTTCAAAAATCACATTAAATAATAGTGGGGCAATGTTTACAATATGCACCATGGAATGCAAAAGCAGAACCTTTAATGGGTGAAGCGAAGGAAGGAAATTGCTATGGGATGCCAGATTTCATTAATGGTGGTCCTTTCCAACTTCATCATTTAGATCTGTTCATTTATTTGTGCCGTTTCTGTGTCACTGACTTCCAAACACACCAGATGGTTTACAGAATTATAGAAATCAGATAAAATATATGATTTGTATAATCATACAAATGTTGCTGGTGGAAAAACAGGATATAAATGAAACAAAAAAGGAATTGATTGTAAATTTGATAATTGGAAGCTAGATTACTGATGGCTAAATATTGGGGACGAAATTGGGATATTCAAAGAAATGAGTGGCATAATGAAATGGCAACAAATGATAAATTAACAGAAATTAAATTTTAAAAAGGGATGATTCAGACAAACAATTATAATGAAATATGCAGGGATTTTATAAAAACAGTGCTGTTGGAATGCAAAGGGAATAAACCTACTCAAGAATGTATGTTGTTTTGGAGGGGATAAGGGCACAATTGGAATATATTGTATATTTTTTAGTTATTATAGAAGAGTTATAAGGGGGGAAAGGTGGGGGTGTACACTGTAATATATATATATATATATATATATATATAATAATATATATATATATATATATATATATATATATATATATATATATATATATATATATATATATATATTTAGATGTATATGTACTGTGTTTGTATTATTTGTATTTAAAATAAAGAAATATTTTAAAGAGAGTTCTCACTTGAAACAAATGATCAGGCTCACATTATCCCATTTCAGACACATTACGCAAAGATCTAGTTCTCTGGAAAAAGCTCTAATGCTGGAAAAGTTGAAGGGGATGGAAAGAGTAAAAGGGGATGACCAGAAGCAAGGCCGATGGCTTGAGCTACAAAAACGATAATTCATGATTCACCGTTGGGAGACTTGCAAGAACAGGCTGGGATAAGATCCTCATGGAGAAAATCTACGGGGTCTTCAGGAATTGAAAAGACTTGATGGCATTCGATCAATCACTCAATCTAATCGAACGGCAGTGACTGGGTCATTCTTTTATAAAAGCAAAATTGCGGAAAATAAACCTACAAACAAAACCAAATATTTCGGTTGCATTTCCCCCCCTCATTGGTGCCAGCTAACTCGAGCAAGAGGGAAACGCCGGATTGACAAATGCTGCCGCTGGTTTTGGTAGATCGTAGGATCCCAAGGATCTCTCCATTCCCACGGCTCGGTGCGTAGCGAAAAGGCTAAAGGCTTTTCAAAGGAGGATCCATCCATCTTCCAATGTGGGCTCCGGGTGTCTTACAAAGGAACAGCAGTACAGGTAGAAGACTTCTCGTGGAAACGGCACAGTTTGTTCATGACTTCCAGAAGCGCCGCGCTGTTTCATCCGAGAGCTGCAAGGACAAACAGCCCGAGAGCCGCCGCAGAAAGAGCATTTCCCTTCTTGTTCGCTGAGCCCCGGGCCTTTCCCAGCGGCGCCTCTCAAAATGGCTCCTTCGCCTCTCGCCTGAGGGAGACGTTCTCGCGGACTCAAGAGAGTCCATTTCGTCATCTGAACAGCCTAACAAACTTGAGAAAGGGGGTTGGACTAGAAGACCTCGCAGGTCCCTCCTAGCTCTATTCTGATGGATTCCTCCAATATGATCTTCCTCCTCGCTAGTTATAGCGCCGATCCGCTGATCAGCGTGCACAGAATCTGCCTAAAATTGCGCTGCCTTGTTGGTAGAGCCAAGGCGTGCAATCCTAACAAACGGCTTGTGGTTAAATTAGACTTTTTCAGGCTTTTCCTCTTGATGGGCTTTATTTTTTTTCCCCTCGTCTCCTTAGGAAAATTGAGAACTGCATGAAATCATTATATTGACTATTTCCTAATATGATTTGATTGCTTATTTGTTCCCTATATGACTAACATTAAGTGTTGTACTTTATGATTCTTGACGAATGTATCTTTTCTTTTATATGTACACCAAGAGCATATGCACCAAGACAAATTCCTTGTGTGTCCAATCACACTTGGCCAATAAAGAATTCTATTCTATATTCTATTCTAAATCAGAACTATATATTCCCTTAAATGACAACAGGTTTACTCTAAACACAAATAACCTTTTAATACTGGTTTAATCCGTAAATTACGCATTAGCTTAATCTGGAAATTAGCTGACCAAACGGATAGCGTAAGCAAAAAGCAAGGCGTTCCTATTGAGCTTTTAGGTTGGGAGATAATGAGAAAAACTAATACTAGAAATCCGGACAGACAGAACTACAGGTCATTGCCCCATTGCTGCCCCCTAGTGGCCGCCGGATTTTTTAAAAGCTTCGATCATTCGCTTTCTCTGAGCCCCACCCCATTCATTTGCATCGACACGCCCTTCTCGTTCGGTTAGATTAGTACCGAGGAGTCGCTTCCACTGTAGGTAGGGCCTGGGAATAGGCGGAACATTAAACCGGAGTCGGCCAATCCGCGATAGAGGACCCTGACAGCTGCTCTGCTTGGTCCGCCTATCTGCAACAGAGCCCGCAGGGCGACCCAGCAGTGACGTAGTTCGGGAATCGGGCTTGTGGTAGGCAGCCCTGGAAGAAACAGTGAGCCAATAGGAAAGTTGTGCGCATGCGTGCCGCAACATCGTGGCTGTTTGGTATCGTTGGTGAAGGCTCAGTTTTTGATTCCGGAAATCGAGATATTTTCCTGCGAAGCTGCAATAAACGTGTTGGTCCTTATGTTCCAGAAGGTTCCTTCTTTTTCTCGTATTAAATCTTGCTTTGGTGCATATGTAGGGGGTCTCTTTTTGCTTTCGCTGCTGATTAGCTCTCGCAGCCATGAACAACCGTGATCAGTGAGTGGTTAGTGCCGCTCTGGTCGTTTGCACATCGGCTTTGCTTCCAAGCACCGATGGGAGCTGTGTTTCAATAACATCTGCCAGCCCGCCCTTAATCCCTCCTCGGACCTGACAGCAAAAGCCGCCCCTGTAACTTTTAAGTTTAGCTTTTTTGCAAAGATCTGATCCTTTTCTGTTTGTCTGCCATCGAGCATCGCTGGGTTAAAAAGGACGACAGAATTAATCCAATGATTTAATGTGGAGTAAACACAGCTTTTATCAGTTTTCAACTAATTAAAAAGTTTTTATGTACAAACGGCTTTATTAAAGTATTTTAATGATACGGCGACCGCCGAGATCTACACTTATTGGTGAGAGAATCCCAACTACTATGTGCTGAAGGAGGCTGGCTTCTAGGAAATCAATTTTGGGAAGAGAGAACAACCCTTAAATAAGTGCTTAAATGATGGGGATCCTAAAGGCAAGGAGCTGTTAATAAGTCTGCTTCCAATTATATTATTAATGGCCCCCAGAGAAAGGTCTGATGTGCAGCCCTCTGTGGATGGAAGATACGGAGAAAACAGTCCAATCGATAGATTTAAATCACATGTGGTCTTAAAAAGTAAACTATAAACTCAATAAAATAAACTCTGTGTGGTCTTAAAGATTCAAATTGGATAGGCTTTAAGAGATGAGAGTTGGGATTATTCTTGAAAAAGTAATGGCAGCAGTGGAATTATATAAACACAGTAAGGGATATCTTTTTTGTCAATATGGTGCTGAAAGATTTGAGACTAGTTGGGATTTTTCAGCCCTTTTTGAATAACTTTTGTGCTATTTTTATTGTACTAATGTCTACTATTTTTCAGATTAAAGCATCCACTTAATTTTATGCAGTGCTCTTTCAATGGCACATATCAGTATCAACCAATATTTGCAGCAGGTAATTAATTGATAAATCTAATTTGAAAAAAAATCATCTGCTATTAGTTATTTATTTTGGTATACTTTGAAAAATTCTTCTAATCTAACATCCAAATCCAAAAATGCTCTGTTGAATGTACATGGAAATAGTAGAAGCATTTTGCCTTCAATAATTTCATGAGATTATTTTAAAAATCACTTTAAATTAGTCATATCTTTTCTTATTTCATTGCTATTTTTGCTATTTTTAGTTACAAAGAAATGAGACTTATACCAAGGCCCAGCTCTATTCATTTCTGATTCTAGGAGGTTTCTCCATAAGTATAAAAATTGTATGGACGGCATGTGATTTCCAGATGTTCATGGACTCCAGTTCCAATTATCAGTGATAAGAACTGTATTCAGCAATATCTGGAAAGTCACATGTTACTCCCTACCGCTGGGCACTATGATGGTCATAATCAAAACTAGCAAGAGTTAATACAGTTTTCTTGCTGGTCCTCTAATAATAAATTTACATGGTTTTCTTTCACAGGTACTGGAATCTATTGATGGCAGAGATGGATTGTTTTGTGCAGAATTAGTGTCATTTAAACATCCTCATGTTGCAAATCCTAGACTGCAGGTAACACATTTGGACTGCAATCCTGTAAATGTATTGAAGTTCTGCTGAACTCAATAAAGGAACATGACCTATTTATTCCTGAATAGAAATATATAGGATTGTCAGATAGCCATAATTAGAGCCATGGAAAATACTTTAAAATACACTTTGAACTGTTGATTTATTGTGGATTCCATGCCTAAAAGGTATTGCAATGTTTACTTGTATTTTTAATGACGAGGTATCTTCTTGTACTTGCTCAATGTAAAAGGTGTATTCAACAGTCTTTCTACAGAACTGGTTTGCCATCTTTTAAAGAAAAGGTTGGACATCCACCTCTGAAAGAAGGTTTAACTCATTTTTCTATACATTTCAAAGGATAGGAATAAATAATTTTTGTGGTTCATTCTAACTCCAGAATTCTGTGATTCTAAAAGCAGTATATTATACAGTCTTTTTAATAGCCAGCTTTTAGATGAAATGTTGCGCCATGCAAGGATTTGGTTTCACATGATCATTGTATGTTAAACTTTTGAAACCTAATTGCCTTCTGAGCTCATTTTTTTCTCTTTTTTGAGTTGCAAGTATAATTTATCCTTGTTATAAAATGTGAACCTAGTCACTCTCGAATCTAATTCCAATGATTCCTCCCTCCCATACTGTATATCATTGACTGAAAGAACAAAGATTCTGTAAATATCTTCAAAACTTCTTAAAAATTGAATTTGGCCAGGCGGTATACTTATAAAGTTCTTTTTATTATTTGTTTCAGCTGCTATGAGAAAAAAGCCAAAGGCAGCTAAATTGTACTTCTAAAGCTTCATGGTTTTTGTCAAACTATTTTATGGCAACAAGGCCTCATTTTTCCCTCTGGTCTATTTTATAATTAGCTTTCATCTCCAGAAGAAAAATGTCAACAAGTGCTGGAACCACCTTATGATGAGATGTTTGCTGCTCATTTAAGGTAAAACTGAGTGAGATAAGATGCCGCATTCATGTATTCCAAGTAGTCACAAATGGAACCTTGTACTAAAAAAACCATCTTAGCAATTATTCTGAACGTATAGAAGTGGCTGAAATGGTGTAAAAGAATAGGATTTTTTTAAACCCAGTTATTCCATAGAAATGAATATTTGCATAGAATTGTATCTGAAAAATTCTAAAGTAGGAAAATAAAACATTGTAAATATATCATAAGTAAGCATTCTACTCAAGTATCCTTTTTAGCCAATGAAATTAACTACTATTAATTTGTTGCCATTTAAGAAGTCTGATATTTAAATTGCTGGATAAATCTGTTTTTAAATTTTGTATGCTCTGTTTTTACTTAGGCTGTGCACCGCCCTGAGTCCTATTGGAGAAGGGCGGTATAGAAATTTAATTAAATAAATAAATAAAATAAATAAATAAATACTAAGAAGTACAGTTGGATTTACTAATAAAAAACGTGTTTAAGATTTATTAAATTCAAGTGAAGAGAATATAAGACAGCTTAGTTTTGGTTATTATTTAAAATTCATGTTTCATTTTTTTAAATAGATGTACTTACGCAGTTGCCAACCATGACTTTGTAGAAGCATACAAATGCCAAACAGTTGTAGTACAATATCCTTTACCATTTGCTCTCTTGAAAATCTGCAGTGGAATTTGGAGTTAAGTTTTCAGCACAAACTACAGAGTTACCAATGTTGGGTTAAGGACGAAATAAATGTTTGATCTACTACTTAGACTCAGGGTCTAGCTATACTATAAACAGGGGCAACTATACTGTAATTGGATGTAAATACTGAAAAAATTCTGGCTTTACACCCAATGTAAAGAATCTTCAAGCCTGGCTTTTATAGTCAATGGGTTTGCATTTCTAGATAAGGAGGATGTTAATATTTGGTAATTAGCATGATGTAATAGTTGCGGCCTCTTCTGATCAAAGTGTGAGTGGGTTCGGTCATCCACATCCTGTGAATATCCATATTAAACCAAGGACATTATTTTTGCCTTTTTATATTGGTGTTAAGCTATGGGTTCATACTTAGAGCTGGGTCACTAAATTCCATGATTTTTTAAATGAATCACATTTCATCAGATTTCCTTATATTCTCTACATCTTTCCTGAGAGCTTTTCAAGCACACAAAGAAGAAAACTGGTAAGTACCTGAGTAACATTCATCTATATCTCAAAATATAAATGAACTGGCCTGATGAGAAATATTCCATTTTAGATAGGTAGAGGAAGTCAGGATATAACCCATTTTAATATCTCAAATGTTCCTCAACTTTGAAGATAAACAGAAGCAAAGTGATCTCTTGGCGGACCAAAAATAGCAGTTTGTCATACATAGAGAATGGCATGGAGATTGAAGAAAGATAGACAACTAAATCAAAATTTAATTTTATTTGCATTAAATTATTTGCTCAGTGGCTAAGACGCTCAGCTTGTCGATCGAAAGGTCGGCAGTTCAGCAGTTCGAATCCCTAGTGCCGTGTAATGGGGTGAGCTTCCGTTACTTGTCCCAGCTTCTGCCAACCGAGTTCGAAAGCACGTAAAAAGTGCAAGTAGAAAAATAGGGACCACCTTTGGTGGGAAGATAACAGTGTTCTGTGCGCCTTTGGTTTAGTCATGCCGGCCACATGATCATGGAGACATCTTCGGACAGCGCTGGCTCTTCAGCTTTGAAACAGAGATGAGCACCGCCCCCTAGAGTCGGGAACGACTAGCACATATGTGTGAGGGGAACCTTTACCTTTACCTTTATCTTTACCTTTAGCATTTTCCTATAATTTTCAGCCATTTGACTATCCTCCATAAATATTAAAAATAGCCCATGGAAAGATTTGAAACAGCCATGAAATCTCTCAAGGCCTTATTTGTCCTGGGTAAATGTGGGCTTTGGTATTGGTGTGCTTTTTCCATGTCCCTGAATATTTGGAGAAATTAAAGGAACTCATTAGAAACTGTAAAATTTCATTGTCCATGTTACAATAATAAATATAAAAGATGTTTTGTTGCTATGCTTAAAAGTATGCAGCAGGTTATTTTTCACTGTTTGCAAGATTAACCCTGTGTTGAATTTCCATTTGCCAGGGCTTTGCCTATTATGTATGCAGTGGCACTTGATCTTCGAATTTTTGCCAACAGTGTAAGTATTGCTGCTTGGGCCAAAATTAATAGATGCTGAAGCAAAGGAAGAGATTGGGTTGGACGGGGTAACAAATGTTCTGGGCTTGGCTTGAAACATGTTCAGGAATACACAAAGGTATTTGCTCACTTGTGTATACACTGTATCTAAATTCTGAGTATGTATGTATTCTGTCCCAACTTAGTGATTGGAAGGCTTAAGTGTGACTGTATCTCACTGTTGTGTCATGATAGGCTGATCAACAACTAGCAAAGAAAGGCAAAGGCAAAGTTGGTGACATGTTGGAAAAAGCAGCTGAACTTCTTATGAGCTGTTTCCGTGTATGTGCAAGTGACACGTGAGTATATCCATAGTCCTAGGTTAAATTGTTGGAAATATACATGACAGTTTTTATACTTTGTAAACTGGTCTGTAGGCTTGTTATATGTCAGTCTTCCTTGACTTGGGAGACAATTGTGAAACTGTCCATAAGTTGAATTTGGAATTCTTTGAAAGCTTTATTATGGCAAATTATTAACCATATTTTCCTAAAGCAGAGGTTATTTTTCTTAAGATAAAGTTTCCTCAGTCTTAAGATTTGAATTCGTAGGGTTGAAAATGAATATAAATATTAATTCATTGATAAATGTCACAATTGAAACTGGTCTTCGTAATATTTATATTATTTATTTATTTATTTATTTATTTATTATTTATTTGTTAAATTTTTATGCGTCTCATCTCCCCTATAAAGCAACTCTTATATATGCCACTTTAGATCTGATGAGCTCAATAGAATGTTTCTGAATATGTGTAAAGAGGATTATGATGTTAGTAGAGACCTCGGTTATGATTTTGGTATACAAAAACACTTGTTTAGGAATGTGGCTCAAAGTCTAATATGCATGTGTAAGGATAAAAATTGATTTTGATCATTTTTGTAATATTTGTTACAGTCGAGCCAGCATTGAGGATTCAAAAAAGTGGGGCATGTTGTTTCTGGTGAATCAACTATTTAAAATATATTTTAAGGTATGACAGGAACTTGAAAATCTTATCAAGAATTCTTTCTTTTTAACTCAAGATTGTTGTCACATGTAACTTCCCCTCTGCTAACAATGTTGCTCTTTCCAGATCAATAAACTTCACCTATGTAAACCATTGATAAGAGCAATTGATAGCTCAAACCTTAAAGATGAATATAGCATGGCACAAAGAGTTACATACAGGTACTATGTTGGAAGGAAGGCAATGTTTGATAGTGATTTTAAACAAGGTATTTATCATATTAATATAACTGATGGGTTTTTTTTTGCTATGAACTTTTGCATATTAATACATTTAAAAAGTTGGTTTGATATGTCTGATCTCAGTATCATAAGACTACTGCAGGTTACAGATATATGACTGTTGATAAACTCATCTTAATTCATTGTCAGTACAAATTATTGAAATTAAATTGCAAATTTCATTAAACTGTTTGAAGAGAACATCATTTCTATTATTTAGAAGGTCCAACATGTTGTGGATTTTCCTGGTTTTTCTACTTCCTTTCCTATTTTGATATTCCTTCCACATATTTGTATCTATTTAGTATTTCTACGCTGATGTTTTCACTAGTCATATATGTTGAATTGATACTAGCTTTTGTTGATGCTACTGATGCTACTACATTGACCACAATTAACTTCTAACCTGAGAGATGCTTCTGTAGAAGCTCTATAGAAGCTTATAGAAGAATATCTATAGAAGGAGCATGTGAGGTTCTTTCTGTGATTATACTGCAGTCTTAACATCAAATTCAGAAGCATAAAATTGTTTTATATTCTTATGTTTTGAGGTGTGCCTTCTGATTTAAAAATTAATGTCATTCTGTTTCTTATTTCCAGAGTTAAAAGTAGAGTGTGGGAAAAATGAAATGGTCTGTTTCAGGTTAAACCAAACTCGTAAATTAGATTGATTAAAAACTAAGCATTCCTTTCTACTTTGAACACTGTCTTGTTTTCAAAATGTTTAAGTTTCTGACAATTGTGAGATTGACATTTGTTGCTCTTCAGAAAACTGATGTAGTAAAATTCAGGAGTAAGTATGATTAGGGAGAACTGTTTTATTAAACTTGAGTATTTGTACAAACCACTATTGAGAATAATCATTATGGTCTTTCTCTTTAATGCATGCCAGCTGGGGAATTCTGGGAATTGAAGTCCTCCCTCTTAAAATGGCCAACACAGAGATACATTGCTCTTGATGTATATAATGTATACTGAAATCTCAGCTGATTTTATTTTGGTGTTGATAATAGCATAAAAGACATACATGTTGAAGAGCTAGATTTTACACTGTAACAGGATATATGCAATCTTCCAGAGCCACATTTGGAAAGATTGCTAAAAAAATTATTGTGGATAAACTCACCTTAATTCATCATTAGCACAAATCATTGAAATAGATAAATTGCTAATTTCATTAAACTGTGCCCAGTACTTGCTCCTGGTCTATGTTGATGAGTTATGGTGTTCCTCTTTTTTGTCTTCTTGCAGCTGAAGAGTATCTGTCTTTTGCCTTTGAGCACTGTCACCGGTCTAGTCAGAAAAACAAAAGGATGATATTGATTTATTTGCTGCCAGTGAAAATGTTACTGGTGAGTGGCATTTGAACTTATCAGTCTTCCTCCAGGAGAGATTCCGAACTTTGATGAATAGTATAAGAATTTGGAATTATGAGAATGTGTCCTGGATATTCTCAAATTAGCTGTTGGCCTGCCCCTTTCATCCATTCTATCTTCTATTCAAGGCTTGTCTTTTTTCTGGGGAGGTGAACACGTTTCTGCAAAGCTTGGACTGGCAACTGTCCATTTTTTAAAGAAAGACTACAGCTCTGTTTGGAGTTCATTCAGTGCAATGGAAGAAGCTGGCACTTTGCTTTGTAGCATGCTGGGGTTCCTACTTTTATTCTTGCCAACCCAGTGAACTGCTCAAAAGAAATTATATAAAGAGCTCAGGACTGTTTCTGTTGTGTATTTGTTTGGCAACAGAATGACTCTATAAAAATTACACAGAATGGGACAAATTTGGAAGTCAGAAGAAAGATAGTGTTTAGAAATGGTCCAGAGCTGCCTTGGAACTGTAGAAAAAGTTCCAAGTGGGAAGGCTTGTAGGGCATGGCTCTGAATGCTACTGGCTCTACTCCTCTAGGCCTCCTCCTTCATCATCATCATCATGTGATCCAGAGTTGAGTACATGCAGCTCATATATATACAAGCAACACAAATGCAGTTTAAGGATAGAGCAGAAATACAGTTGCAACTTGTTAATTCATAACCCAGACAAAAGTACAAATGCTTCCTAAGGCTACTTCTGGTAAAGGGGTTGAAAAGAATTCCAGAAATCACACATACTTTCCTACCTTGTTTAAATGAAAATGAATGTTAGTGTAAAAATGATGATATGTGTTTTGATAGATATCAAGTCAGGTATCAGCAGATTAGAATCTCTGGTCTTAAAGTATGTTCCTGTACTTAGTAATGAATTGGGGAATGAGCCCTTTCTTGGCCAGAGATTTATGGAGTTGCCCATCATAAGTATAGTTTATGGAAGAAGGCATGTAAGATTTGGGACCCACTAGGCATATAAAATTGTTAGCTGTTCAGTTGTTACATAGCTTTTTATGTTTTGTAGCTCCAAATAGTCAAGGAAAACTTGAAACTAGATTGAGGACATAGGATGCCATCAGATGTAGTTTGAGAATGACAACCTGGATTCCAGAGAGCCAGAATCATTAATAAATTTCCTGGCCTGCTTAGTTGGAACTTCTGTTGCAAGCACTTAAGAATAAAGTGATGACTTCTCCATGAGGCAGGAACTGTAGTTCAAGCTTCAGAACACAGGAAGAAGAGAAAGAGCAGTTCTTTGGTACCTTTTGCTAAATGCAAAACTCCAACTCCAGATCCAATAGAAAGTGACTGCTGTCAATATATTCTTTCTGCTAGATTCAGAATTGGTCTTTCAAAATGGTCTTTCTGTTAAAAATGGCGTTATGACTAGGAATAATATGTAATGTAAATGTGCTGTAGGACACTTAGAGAGATGACTTTGGCCTAACTTGACCCAGTTTAGGATCCCATTAGGATCCTGCCTACATACGCTGGATATTATTTGAGTAGTAGGCAGCCAAAAATAGTCTCTTTTGTGCTAGGAGATTAGCTATAGTGATAATTGGCAGAACAATTCATGACTGTTTATTGCTTTAGGAAAAAACTGATTATTGGTGTTTCTAATTTTTGGCATTGAGTTTAAAATTATGCTTGGATTTTCAGGGCCATATGCCAATGATCCAGCTTTTAAAAAAGTATGACCTCATGCAGTTTGCAGAAGTTACAAAAGCTGTGAGGTAAGTTTCATTTATGGAACTGCATATAGTTATAATCCTATTAGTGTAGTAAGATTGCAAACTATTTGTCTTACAATGTAGATAACACGAACTGTTGAATGTTACTTTGCTGTTTAAAAAAAATGCTCTTCTTAGTCCCTAATTTCATATTAGTATTGTAATGCAGATTAAACCAACATTCTCCTCTCCTCAGGAAATAAATGGAACACCCCAATCATAACCACATTTGAGCTGTAACTAATGCCCTGCCATTGCTGTCTCACCCTTTGCAAAGTAGATCCCAGAATGCAAAAAGTTGCCAATTCATTTGCTCAATATTGATATCTCTAAATATCGGTTTAGTGTGATATGTACAAACAGAAACATCCGAGACAAAGTCATGGTTTGTGGACTTTCTCGTTTCTCCTCGATGAAACCAGGAGGAAGAACAAAGTAAAATTATGTTTTATTTTGACTAGATCTCTTCTTTCATATATACCGGAATGTTAATTTACTGATTTGGTCTGGTTTTTGTAAACTGGTTAATTTCTTTCTGGGCTTCTTTCTGAAGAATACCATGCTTGTTGGTGGTTCTAAGTTAACATGCCCTTTCCAGGCAATTTAATATATGTGTTGTATCTCTCCTTCTTATAGCAGGACGGTTGCTTGCAATGGGAAGTTATTAATAGTGTTTAATGTGAAGTAATGATGCTTTCATTAGGTTATGAAAGAATTTTGGTGCCTTTATAGCCCGGGTGTCAAACTTGATCGCGTCACGTGACATATTATGACTTTTTTGCCTTTGCGGTGCTGGGGTGGGTGTGACCTGTGCATGATGCATCTGGCCCACGAGCCGCCAGTTTGACACCCCTGCGTTTAATGTAGGAGGATCAAGGTGGAAAGAAGTAATTGACTAAGTACTTATCAGTAATGATAGTTACTTAATTGGGATAACACTTCTGAGTAAACCAGGAAAGGAAAGATTGAACAAGTCTCTAACTCTTGGACTGTTAGATTAGAATTCCACATTTTCCCATAATAATATGTCAGGTTAAAGTGAAACAGAGTTTTAGTTTATTCTTCCTCTTGGCTATGGGGGAAGTACCAAGATACTAGAAAAGTCAAATAAATGGATATCCGACTTCCTATGAAGCTATTTGTTGCTCATCACTCAGTATAGGATTATGCATCCCAAGTTATATGTAGATAGTCACTGTGAATTTTTTGGAATGTTCAAAATCTTTATTTTTCAAATTCCTTTAGTGAAGGGAACCTTCTTTTATTAAATGATGCTCTGGCAAAACATGAGACGTTTTTCATTCGCTGCGGTATCTTCCTTATTCTTGAGAAGCTGAAAATCATCACCTACAGAAATCTCTTCAAGAAAGTGTAAGAGTTTCATTTATATTGCTTGACATGGCTAAGTGTGTACTGTGTACAATTTGATGTTATAAAAGTCAGATCAATGAGAATTACAGGTAGTCCTCGACTTACGACCACAGTTGAGCCCAAAATTTCTGTTGTTAAGTGAGATATTTGTTAAGTGAGTTTTGCCCCACTTTCTGGCCACAGATGTTAAGTGAATCACTGCAAGTATTAAATTAGTAATACAGTTGTTTAAGTGAGCCTGGCTTTCCCATTGACTTTGCTTGTCAGAAGGTCGCAAAAGATTGATCACATGACCTCCGGACACTGCAACTGTCATAAATATGAGTCAATTGCCAAGTGTCTGAATTTTGATCACAAGAACATGGAAATGTTGCAATGGTGTAAGTGTGAAAAACAGTCACAAGTCACTTTTTTACTGCTATTGTAATTTTGAAGTGTCACTAAATGAACTGTTGTAAGTCAACAACTATATTATTTATTTTCTCTTTATTGTAAGGAGTACTTTTTGAAATGGCAAGTTTGCACTTGTTGAGCAAAGAACTTTTTGACCATCTTCCTAAATGGAAATTTATACTAGTAAAATCTTTTAATCAGTAATACATTTGCCAGAAGCATCTGGAATCTATTGTTTTAAATGTAAGAACCATGCTTTAGATTTTCAGAGACTTGCCTGTTATTTTAAATATCTGGCAAGAGAAAAACTGTCCCTGTGTATTTTTTAAAAAAGAGAGGTCTCTGAGATGGGACTTGGAAAGCTATCTTTCTGACTATAGTAACTATACAGACTAGCTGAGAAAAGTCATAGAATAAAGGAATAAAGAGAATTCAGGGAATAAAGAGAATTGTTTGGTTTATATGAATTTTATATTCTGTTTTGATTCAGCATGTATGGCTATTAATAGAAATACTACTTTATATGAGCTGCATTATTCTGGAATAAGCAGACTTGCTTATTTGGATTAACCCTAATCTATTAGTAAAATATCAAGATTATCTTTCATTCTTCAAATAAAGTAATAATAGGGTAGTTTGGTTCCAAATATTTGGGACTAACCCAATATTAGGGACTAACCAGAAACTCACGATCCATTTGGGTCATCCTTTCAGATATACCGTATTTTTTGGAGTATAAGACGCATCTTTTCCCCCCCCCTCCAAAAAAAAGAGGGTGAAAATCTAGGTGCGTCTTATACTCCGAATGTAGCCTCGCCTAGCTTCTTAAACGGAGGTTTCAGAAGCTGAAAAAAGCATCAGAAACGAAGCTTCAGAAAAGAGGCCCCCAAACAGAGCTTCAGAAAAAAAGCCTCCAAACAGAGCTTCCGAGGCTTTTTTTCTGAAACTCTGTTTCGGAGGCTTTCAGAGGCAGGAAAAAAAGTTTTTTTCTGAAATGGAGTTTCAGAAGTTTCAGAGGCAGAAAAAAAAGCACACACACACACAAAAAAAGCAAGGCAGAGAGCTCACAACCAAGGAACCTGTTGCTAAAATTCACCTCTGGGAACAGCTGATTGGGGGATATCTTCTGCCACCGATAACCAATGTATTGCTCCTAGAAGCACGAAGCCGAGACCACCAGCCTGAAGATGACAAATGAGACTTCATCGAAACGTTGCCAAGACACCTCCAATTTAAAAAAATACTGTATTTCCTTACCAAAACAGATAATACAAGTCCAAATCTATCACTGTGTTTCTGTCAGCAGCTATGATCACATAATCCCCATTGACTTTCTCCCTGCAAGCTTCTCAGGCTTCCCCATTAACTTGTGAGAAGGTGTCAGGGAATGTTGTAAATGAGGATCAGGTAACCATGGCAGCAGAGCAGTGGCACTGAACAGCAGCTCAGTTGTGCTGACATGGCAAGAACTTTCCAAAATTTCATTCCCATGGGAATAATGGGTCCTGACATTCTAGAAGTTAGCCCCTTTGAGGTACCTTGATTGAAACGGTTTTCTCCTATGTTGCACTGATTCTTCCAGTTAAAGGTTACATATATATGTGTGTGTATACATACATGCATACATACATGCATACATATACATATACACATATGTACATGCATGCATACATACACACACACAAAAATTGTAATATTTTACCACAGTCCTTTACCTGCTAGTTTGCAGTAGTCTCCTTCAACTCCAAAACTTAATCACAATGAAATTTGGCTGGATCTACCAGACTATGTGGCAGAATCTTTTCTCAGAAAAATAAAATATGTAGATGTTTTCATTCCCAGAAATATGAGTAGGCAGCGAAGGCATAGAAATGGAGGTTGAGGCATAGACTAGGTTGGAATTATTATCAGTAATAGCAACTGTGATTTTTCCCCCCCTTTCCTTCAGATATTTGTTACTTAAAACTCACCAGCTAGCTCTAGATGCCTTTCTGGTTGCCCTGAAATTCATGAAAGTCACTGATGTTGATATTGATGAAGTCCAGTGCATTTTGGCTAATCTCATTTACATGGTAAGTGTTGGCATTCATAATATGGCATGGATAAAAACAACATATGCTGTTGTCGTAGGCTTACCGAACTATAACATTTTATGTGTCTGAATCCTACTTTTATATACAGTGAACGTACTCTGTATATTCATAAGCATAAAAGGACAAATGGTTACTCAATGGAACAATGGAATTGGACAAGTTTTTTTCTCCATTACATATTCCTCCAACATTGTATTAATGGTATATTAATCATTAGCTTATAGTCAGAGGACCATTGCCAGCTGCCCCAGGTTCTGTGTTAGGGTGAGAATACATCAGCCTTTTTTCAGCCTTGTGCCTTTGGGCTTCACTGAGGTAACAGATCCCAAAATTCCCAGCCTGCTTAATCAGTGGCCAAGCTGGCAGAGAATTCAGAAATTCATGGTTTTGGTATAGCTGGAAGGCAACAGATTCAGGGAAAATAGATATCCACAGTATCAGCAGCAATGGTGTATGGAAAGGATTATATAATACAATGTTGATTCAAGAAAAGGAATTCCTTTATACCTGCTTGATACCTTTTAGTGCACCTTTCCAACCAGTGTTGAATTTTAGCTGCCCAAATTCTTATCTAGCATGTGGAAAGATCATCTTGATTTGGAATTCTGGGGTTTAACTTTATAAATTCATATGTTTATATTTTGGTAATCTGGAGGATACCAAGTTGATTTAGAACAGCAGTTCTTAAATTGGAGGTAATTTGGGCCTATGTTGAGAGTAATGGAATAATTTGTAACTGCTGAATTGTGAATTAAGGATCCAGTGTGGGATCTTTCTTTTGAGATACTTGTGCAAAAGAAGAGAATCTGTTTTTGGGGTGGATGGGTGATGGGATAATGACATTATTCAAGACCAGGAAAAGGAGCGTTAATTCAGAATATGACTTAACACTATTTTGTTTGCAGTGACTTTGCTTCCTGCTTGAATATTGATTCAAAATAATCTGTTAATCTTATAATTTCACTTATGTAACCTATTCTCACTCATTTCGCCACACATTAGCCCTGTGCCCTGTACATGCCTTATTCAAATAATCTAGTGCCTAAAGCACACAACCTCGCACAACAGCATGTCCCTGTGCATAATATTGCTTTGATCTGTAATTAACCTTTCAAAAATGGCATGCATTAAAACATATACATAGTTAAATAAATATTGAAACCCAAGAGATATATGTAAATTATTCTAAATTTGCCAGGCTGATGCTTGTGGGTTTTTCTCCCCAAACCAGGGTCATATTAAGGGCTATATATCACATCAGCATCAGAAGCTTGTTGTCAGCAAGCAAAATCCTTTCCCTCCACTTTCTACTGTCTGCTGAACGGAGATGGAGGAATGTTGCTCCTGGGCAGGGATTATGATTGGAGGAGCCCTCTTTAAAAGGTGGAACAGTCTTGCATTTAGGACAAAGAGGGGCATGCTGAAGAGATTGCTGCAGCACAGAAGAGAAGGAATGGCTCCACTATTTCCTTCCATTCAAAGGAAATGATTATGATCCCCTCTCTGTAATCTTCAGAACCACCTTCTGGAAGGCAATTTTCAGAACAGGTACAGAATGAACTATGTATTGTTCCATCATAATTTTTTGTGTGTGGATTTTTCTTGATAAAAATTCCCAATTGAATAAACAGCATAATATTATGTTGATAACCTCTGGTGAACACTTCATAACATGACCATAATTGATGTTTTCAATTTTAATATTGCTATAATATTTTTTTTTAAAAACATGTAAAGACTTAATGTGTTATCTTTCAAAGTTTAATTAAATGTAGAAAATGAAAAATAATAGCTGGATGTTTTACATTTTTTAAATTGTAAATTTAGAGTACTTTCAGCGAGACTGGCTGTTATGTTGTTAATATAACTTCAGCACCTATAAGGCAATTTAGAGCTTCTATTAAGCGTCTCATTAAGTAATTATCTGCAGGGCACATACAATGAATCTAGTTTACAGTGGTATGAATTATAAAATTCTTGATGATGTCATTGTGTTAGATTTTGTCCTTTGCATTTCTTCATGTTTATATATTAGAAACAGTGATCTCAGAAATTATTCTCCTGAAGAGAATACAAAAATTAAATACACATTACTGGGGAAAGATAGTCAGATTTAATACCAAATCTCACAATCAGTGAAATTAGTACTTTGATAATTGATACTGGGAACAAATACAGATTCTATCTCTGGATGTTCTATGAAATCTTTCCACAGAAGCAAATGAAATGAATACTGTTTTGTTCACAGAAGGCAAAAAAGTTTTATTTTCATAGATAGGCATACATCATATTTACAGTAGTGCTTCAAACCTGAATATGTTATATGCTGGATACTCATTTTCTATATTTTTTTTGTTTTTATATTTCATTATCCCATTATTCGTTTAAACCACATTGTGTATCTTGAGGTCTTGGTAAATATAAATGTTTTCCAGTTAACTCTTTCAGTTGCCCATGGTTCTAAAACTCCGGTGAGGAACCATGTTCCTTTATAGGGAACGGCAATAAAACTTCCTCCCACAGGCATCTCCTTGGCTTGCGCTTGACTGCGGCCGCAGAATTCCCTTGTTATCAGATTTCTGTTGAGAATTTGCTTGCAATCATTTTCACTGAGGTAGGAAATAGGCCACTGTACCAGGGAGGGTGTCAGGTGACTTCTGTTTGCATTCCAGCCACTAAGACTACCTTCCATTTGTGAAATCAACACGTGCTCTGCAAAATCCCTTTCTGGAATGCATATGGGTAGATGGTTCCTGTCGCAGTCAATTTGGCTGCTAAGCTCAAGCAAAGCCAGGTTGTTCTCACCAGTGGTGTTGTCATAGCGGAGGTGTATATTTGACTCTTTCACTGGTATTATTTGATTCAAATAATTTATAATTAGTTGCAGCTTGTTGATTCCTGAACAGGTAAAAAAGTATATTCATTGGTCATTACAATAGCTTTTCTTTTGACCGGCTTTACATTAAACAAATGAAAAATGCCATCTTGCGAGTTAAGTTGCTAATATTATGGAATATAGAAAAATAAACACAGAGAGGAACGGTGTCTTGAAAACATTTAAATATATACAACTGAAGTTATTAGTGCAGTAATGCTTATAGATTATGCATCTCTTTTGGGATCTATGGGGTTCAGTAAAACAAAGGTAGCAAAATTTATTTACTTTGCTCAGAAGTGTAGACAATCACCTGTACAAAGTGTAGAAAAAAAAGAAATACATGTTGGCTCTAGACCTATTTAACTAGGGCTGAAATAAGAAGAATTAATAAAGTACGTAGCCGAAGCTGGTCCTACCAATAAGTGGTGTGAAACCACTAATTTTATATAGCATCATGAAAAGAGAAGAGGTGGCACTAATTTCACATAGTGGAATATCTATGTTGGCAACCTTTGTCACACTTAGGAGGAGCTTGTGGTTGGGGAAAGGAGGGGGGGGCTGCAGTGACTGGAACAGTGTCTACAAAAATACCTATAGTCAGATGATAGCAAACGCACTGTAACCCATCATTTCTTGCATGATGCAATTTGTAGGAAAGGAATTGCCACATTGGGAATAATAACATAATGATTATATCCACTATCACACCGGACCACAGTTTGACAACTTTTCTACTTCACGTACCTTCACCGACATTGGGGAGGGATAAATAAATGGCCACAATTACCAGATCAGATGAGATTTTAACACCCAGTCTTATCTCGTGTGAGAAGACAGAAATCTCAGTAATATTGTGACATTTCAATAAATATGATTTTTTTAAAAAGATAATATTCTGGGTGATGTTTTAGCATCACTGTGGCTCCATGATGCATGTTTGCGCTAGGGAAATGCAAGGTTTCTTTGTTATTCTCCGTTTTTTTGCCTAAAATAAAAAGTTAAAAAGCTTCCTTGATTCAAGCTTGATTCATGGTGGTATGGATGCAGCATGCAATTTTCTTGGGAAGACTCAAAAGGACTTTGTCATAACTACCTTCCACAATGTTCTTGGACTTTCTAGAATAGCCCTGGGATTTTCTTATCCCATCCAAATTAATTCATTAATGATGGCAGACAGTAACTTTTGAGATTAGGCAAAGTTGGCTGGGTGTTAGCAGCTAAGATGATATCTGTCTGTCTGTCATCCATGCATCCATATATCCATCCATACATCCATACATACGTATCAGTGGTGGGTTGCCCCGGTTCGGACCTGAACTATAGAACCGGTAGTAAAACTGGTGGGAGGCTTCGCCCACTGACTGTGACATCATAAGAAGTGATCTGTGCATGCGCGAACAAAGCGAGCGCACCTGCGAGATCCCTGCAAACCGGTAGTAAAGGTAAGTAGAACCCATCCCTGATACATACATACATACATGCACACATACTGTAGTATGGCAAATTTGCAGGTGAACATTCTGAATCTACTAATACTTTTACTTGATGTATTTGAGTTTCTATTTCTTTGAAATTCCCAATATTGAGAGAAACAGTTATTAAGTTACTTACCAACCACAACACTAACGGGAGACAGCAGCGCACATTCAGCTGTAGTCAATACAAAGTTAGTTTTCAGGAGAACACCTCCACAGATCCATTTTTCTTCTGAATTTAAGAGCAAGACCTTAAAAACAAAGCAAATCAGCATTTCTTTTGCTCCTTACAGGTAGCCTGCCCATTATGGTCATAAGGTGTCATTGTAAAGCAGTCATCACGTGGCTGATTTAATTTTATGACCTTTTTGTGGCAGTTAAGCAAATCACCATGGTCATTAAGTGAATCTGCGGTCATTAAACAAATACTGTGGTCATTAAGCAAGCCCAATAATTGCTGTTTTTTCTGAAAGCTGGAAGTCAACACCTCTTTCTGGCAAAACCATCATAAATGGTCATAACAATGGGACGCTGCAAATGGCCATAAATGTGGGCTGGCTGAATACACCAAATACTGTCACATGACCATAGGTGAGCCTGACTGGCAAAATTCAGGAACTGGGTCATAGGTACCTTTTGGGGATCTGTTGTTACTTTGAATGTTCACTAAGTGACCGATTGTAAATCGAGGATTACCTATACATCCACTAGATATGTTGCCATTTCATTCCCCATTGCTGCTGATATTACAGTTTTATAGGACATGGATTCATAAGGAAAACTAGCAGCTGTAATTGTCTTTATGAACTGGATAGTTGGTAATTCAATATAGGAGAAAAACTATATAGCAGCTTTGGCATTTTAATAAAAAATTGTTAGTTGGAAAAGGTGCTACCAAACTCATGATTATAAGCCAACATTTGGGTTATGCTGAATAATGCCCAGCTGAGATTTAGTAAGGAATATGAGGTAGAAAATCCAGATTAGGCAACTAGCAAAAATTCATGCAAATCACAAATGGATAAGAAGAAGGATTATCCAGCTTTAATTCTCTTTAAAAATGTTGTTTGCCATTGTTTGAGTAGAATTCCAAAAATAATACAAGAATTGGATGCTCTCTTTGATACCACAAAGTTTTAAACAGTGCACACTATACTTCATCATAGCCAAAAAGTCAGAATTAGCTCCCGAAAAGGGAGCTCCAGAATGCTCATTACCATGAAATATGTGAATTATTTGAATATGTTAACTCCCAGCCTAAGGGCAGAATCCTTTAGAGCTAAATACAAGATAAAATATAACACTTATACATGAAATATGTCCATGTGATTCGGGAGAGAAAAAAATTGTTGAGTACATCCCCTCCTCTTTACTATAGACAAGTGTGAAAGTACTATATATAGTACCAGTCTTCAAACAATTTCCATGCAAAACAGTTGTTTTGTACTGTACTAAATTATTATCTGATGCTAAAATGAAATGAGGAGAGCTGCCACCTATTAGTGGGCAACAGTAAAGACATATCAGTTGACCCCATAAACCAGAGGTGTCAAACTCATGTTGTTGTCACATGATGTATCGGAATTTTTTTCCCCTTCACTAAACCAGGCATGGCCAGCATGTGATGTATCCGGCCTGCGGGTCAGGAACCCTGTCCTAAACTAATTTAATTTTGTTTTGTAATTTATATTTTAAATTTTACTTTTCTGATCTACAATCACGATTTGGATTTGGATTTGACCACCTGTAAGTATTACAAGTTTCCATTTGAGCCCTAACAGCCCGACCAAATCAGGAACTCCTCCATCACTTTGGGTACCTGCCAGGGGAATTCTCTGTCAGCTGGATTGAGTGGACATGAAAGCTGCTGGAATCTTCCACAGGCACATTCATCTGGAAATATATTGCAAGAAAAGAAAACAATGTCGTTTTTAATGAGTAGATTTCAAAAGCAACTATTTTTGTTAAATTTGATTAAAATATTTTTTTTTTTAAACAAGAAATTGGGTCTTTGGTTGATGAAAACAAGCACACTTTAACTATTTCGCTACCATTTGCAGTCTATACTGAAACATCTTTGGAAATAGATTATTTCTCCCCGCCCCACACACACACAAAACTTTGGTATTCAGTTTAGGGGAGGCGGCAACCATCTCCTGAGCTTTATTGCTTTAAAGTGTAGAAATAGATAAGTTTAAAATAAATCTAGAAAGAGTGCAGAGAAGAGCTTTCAGGGGACTGAAAGCTAAAACATTTGAAAAACAGTTGTAGGAATTGGGTGTGTCCAGTTTAATGAAAAGAAGGAATGGGGGTAACATGACAGCAGTATTCCAATATCCAACCAGTTGCCACAAAGAAGGGAGTCAAGTTATTTTCCAAAGCATCCGAAGGCAGGACAAGAAGCAATGGATGGAAACTAATCAAGGAGAGAAGCAA